TGGGGAATGGTATACCCACGCCACCATGCTGAGGGGAGTGCATGCCAGAAACCATGGCGAGCACAAAGTACCAACTCTACCATAGCCATGGGAGTTGCCCCATTAAGACGGCTGTCAGTGACATTATCCCCTACGGCCAAAGGCCTAGGCTACATACCACAAAAAACTTACCTGTTAGGGCCAGAACTCCTGGGCCCGGGGTAGAGCTCAAGGCTTGGAATCAGGAATAGATTCCTTTAAGGGAATACGACCAAGAGCCTAGAATCATACTAAGTCTTGGCCTGTCACACAGGGGCTACCGCATACTCTGCATATGCTGCAAGAACTGTCTCAACAGACCCCTAGTAGCAACACCCTATTAAAGTAGGTGTCCAGAGGATACATAGGTGGAGTGGTGCCCAAGGTGGAACCAGGGCTTTAACCAACTCAAGAAAGAGCACGAAGCTGCCGCGCGTAACTCTCACCATAAGAACGCAAAGTACTAGCGTGTGAACTTACCACAGTGTGGATTTTAGAAAGTGTACAAAGACTTCACGTGCAAATTTACCATAACATGGATTTAAAAATACCATTCTAAGGGGCCCTCGTGGCACTCTGAAATAGCAGCCCATAGATGGAAATGGTGCATCCCAAAACACTATGTTTGAGAAGTCATCAACTCGATCTAAGGTATAATGCTGGAGTGGCTAGCAGTAAATCTCTAGCTGAGGGAGCAAACACCCAGCTCTCAATCGAGAGGGGGCTCAACCTACAGCATGTTCCAATGCTGGAACAGCTAGCAGTTACTTAGCTGAGGGAGCAACATACCCAGTTCTCAATCGAGAGGGGGACTCGACCTGCAGCATGTTCCAATGCTGGAACGGCTAGCAGTAAGTTACTGTAGCTGAGGGAGCACAACACCCAGCTCTCAACGAGAGGGGGCTCGACCTACAGCACGATCGTTAGAAAACAGAAGGGTAAGCATACTGCAAGCTAGCTAAAAGACTCAGCGCATCAGAGAGACAGAGGAAGGGCCTAGTTCGCCTGATGCTGCTGGTTCCAGGTGCTCTGGGAAAACAGTGATCTCAACTCTCACGTGAGAGGAGAACTCCGAATTCAGAAAGGAGTAGCGTGCTCATAGGTAACCCTTTGATAAAAGGGGAGCACTGCTAAACACTACCACGAGAACAGCCCATAGAGTGAGGAATCCAACTCCTCAGAAGGGAGAGAACTCAAATGCTCGAAAGAAAGCACCATGCTCACAATAACCCTCAATGGTGAGGGGAGCGATGCTTCAAAAGTGTGTCAACAGGGACACACTGGTTGAGTGGAGCCCACGGTACTGGGGTCTAAACGAACTCAGAGAAAGGGAACGAGGCTAATAACGTGTAACCCTTACCATACAGGATTTCAGAAAAGTGCGCAAAGTATAACGTGCACACTTACCACTATGTGGATTTTAGAAAATGCGCAGTGTTCAGCACATTTACCACTGTGTGGATTTCTTAGCGTGTGCACTTACCATAGCATGGATTTAAGAGCTTCCCAAGCGTCTGTTCACAGATATCTGGAAGTACTGAGCCAAACGGGAGAGGCAAGCTCAAATCCAACCCACTAAGGCGAGGGGAGCACTGCCTGAGACCGCATTACACAAGAAGGTTCTCGCAAATACCACCTATACTTCCCGCTCGATTCCTCAGCAACAGGGGATATCCTGGTGACTAGGAAGCCCCTCAGGGCGACCTAGATACGGTGTACCAGACAGGGCAGCCTGAAAGCATAAGCCTAGCCCGGACGTCCAGGAAATTTTTGCAGTGCCGTGCCAGGGGCCTGATGATCAAGAAGGCTCCCGCAGAAGCCTGTGACCTGGCCGCATGATCCAGGAAGCATGAAGCCGGAACTAGGGCTATCATACCGGCTGGACACCATATCGAAGAGTGAAGTAAACACTGCAAGTCGAGCACCAGGTTTCTGAATCCAACAGAGGGGGGTGCTCACCGAGGACCTACCCTAGAAAAAGGACAGAAACACACAGGTCCCGGAAAACACTGCAAAGAAAGCTAGCAGATGGATTATACACACAACCACCAGCGCATTAAATACACACACACACACACACACACACATATATATATATATATATATATATATACTG